TACAGCCTCTGCTTCTGCCATGGTAACCTCAGTCTTTTATTATCATTGTTGGACCCCAAAATTTAGGGTCTCAGGTGGGCGCCCCAAGAACCCAGACTCCAGTCCAGTTGATGCAACAGCACGAGGATTTTATTAAAGAAACATCTGTACAGATGGGCAAACTCTGCTCCAAAGAACAAGAGTCGCATCTTACTGCAGCCCCATAAGGGCTTTCAAAGGAAAAACCCACAAAACCCACAAGATTACAATTCCCATACAATGTCATTTCGATTGATTTATTTCTAGAAGCTAATTTCATAAAATCATTGTCTGGTTACAGAGTGATCATAGAGGGGGATACAGTTACGTCAGTGTGCACATTTTTCTTGAAACCTCAAGGGGGGTATCAGGGTGGGAGTACATACAGGTCACGATGGTCTTCCCTGGAACATTTGCAACTTTCCCAGTCACAGTTGAGCACACCTCTTAATAGAAATCTCTTTATATTGTTATATTGTTACAGGGGTGATTGAGTAGTGGCTGAGTCAGGTTGCCCTGGGAACTAGACTTTTAGTTTCTCATTTCCTGGTGCTTGAAGTTTCTTTCTTCCTGAGGCTTGGGGGTGTAAGCCTGAAGGGCTAGGGTCTTTCAATCATGAGCAAGGGGAAACAGAAAGGAAAGGGGAAATCACCCAATACGGAGTAGTCTCATAATTCCAAAGGTTATTCTTAGAAAAATCACCAATATATTCTTCATCATCTTTGATTAAACACAGAAACTATCCCAGGCTTAATGCCAGAGCAAGCACAACCTATTTTTATTCTTTAATGATTATACAGTCTTCTGAGCATTTGACCCAAAGGCTAGCAACATGCAATTTCATAAAAAAAAAAAAAAGGATAAAAATAAGAACAGTGGTGAATGTAGCAGACAGTCATTTCCTTTTCACACAGCCTGCTCTGACCTCAAGACCTCTGCAGCTGCATAAGTTCCTCCTCAGCCCTCTGCAAACACCAAGCCCCATGACTGGTGGGCCACAATGACCTCAGGCAAGAAATCCGTCCCTGCAGGTCAGCAGCTTTGTCCTTCTTATCCCAACAGTTCCAAGGAAGACCTGAGCCAATTTTCAAAACTTCCATGAAAGGAGCTCACCTTTCCTGGCAGCTCTTTTCAATCTAGGAACCCTGTTGGGGATTTAGCTCAGAGGTAGAGCGCTTGCCTAGCAAGCGCAAGGCCATGGGTTTGAGCCTCAGCTCCAAAAAAACCAAAAACAACAACAACAAAAAAATCAATCTAGGAACCCAATAAAACTTGCTGCAATCACTCCAACCATTGCCACATTTTCTCCACACTCCTTCAGGAGGAATCAAAATATCTGGATTAAAGTTGCCATCTCCCTTTCTTGGTGGAGGCCACCATTTTCCTCCTATTCTAGGTTCCCACACTTCTCCTTTGTCATCCCATCTATATGTTATTCCATCCACAGTCTTCAGCCAATACCCCTTAGGGTCTCAAGTTTTACACCATGCCCTTGGAATAGCCTCAGAAACTGAATTATTCATCATGGCCAAATTGAGTCTAGTGCGCTGATACACATCATACCATGTGCTATAGTTGACCACACATTCAGTATCTTTTATCCAAGCCTGAAAAGCTTCCCCAGGCTGCAGGTCCTTTCTCATGACATGCATAACTGCATGACCCCAGCCTGGGTGATCATCTCTGATAATTTCCCCTGAAATTTGTTTCATTCCCATCCCATTTCACAGAAAGTACCCTTGGTCTAGGAACACAGAACATGAAGATCAGATAGAAGAAAAAGATTAGCATTACAAGAAGTCATTATATGGAGGAGAATGTGACATGTGCATGCCATAAATCATGACCTTGGGACATGTAGGCACTTGTGCCTTGGCCCTCTAGAGGCATGCAAAGCAGAAGATCTGGAGGGGAACGAGAGGAGGGTTGGAGGTCCACAATCTTGGGTCCCTCATCTCCAGTTTTTGCTGGCAGCACGTCAGGCATTTGTATGCCGTCTCTGGCATTTGGCATTTACTCACTTTTAAGCTTTAGTTATTTGGATAAACTAAGCCATACAAGAATCTATAATGGAGTGTATGATTCCCCAAGAAAGTGGTCAGGCATTTAGACAAAGCCCCCCATTCTCTCAGGGGCTTAAAGAAAGTTCTTGCTTGCTGAAAAAAAAAAAAAAAAAAGACATTCTTATCTCTGGCAAGAGGAACTTGTGGCCCTTCCATTAACATATGACTGGTGCCTATTAACTTGTCAAGGTCAATGCTAGCCTCCCGGATCCCTGATCACAAGCCACATACACCCCAGCTCACTGGCCCTTGTCCCGTTTAATTCTATGTGCAACGACAGAGTATAAAAGGTGTATTCTTTTTCCAATAAACTGCGCAGGCAGCCATACTTATTCACCCTCAGATCCTGTCGGTCATAGCCCTCTCCCCATCCCCCAACTCCATACATCTTCTGTGGGACCTGAACCCCACCAGAGCTGGTCTCCAGCATAACCCCCTAAAGATTATTTTTCAGAAGCTGCTCTAGGAGAGCGTGATGGCAATTTCAGGATCCACCAGAGCCCAGCCAATCAAGTTAAAGCTGTCTTCCTACTACATGAAGTCAGCCCGACCTAGGCCCCCTTAGATCCTGGAGACAACCTTCAGGCTGTCCCTCTTCAATAGGAAGTAGCCAGGGAGAGAATTCATTGCCTCATCTTATCTGTTGCCAGGGTCTGGAATGAAATGTTAAAGACCTAAATGCCTCAAGTGGACCTGACAGACATCACCTGTGGGAGCTTCTGATAAGGGGATCCACAAATGAAACCTGCGGGTATCCACCTCTCCCAGACTGCAGGGGAAGTGACAGACTCTTCATCCTCAACCTCCCTTTCCACTTGTAAAACCCCAAGACACACACACACACACACACACACACACACACACACACACACACACACACACAACACACACTGGGTCTCAAAACTCAGGATAAATGGCTGCCCTTCAGCTGTTCTCATGACAAGGCCCCAGACCTTAGTACAGCTAACTCCCTGATGGAAGTGCCATTCAGACCATGAAACCCCAACCCCTGACTAACTGTTCTTAACTGAAGTATGTCAACCCAGCATATGTTTTGTGCTTAAAAGTTCACCCTGAGGCTGGAGAGATGGTTCAGCAGTTAAGAGCACTGGCTGCTCTTCAAGAGGATCCAGGTTCAATTCCCAGCACCCACATGGCAGTTTACACCTGTCTGTAACTCCTGTTCCGGGGGATCTGACTCCCTCACAAAGACATGCAGGCAGAATACCAATGTACATAAAATACAAATAAACAAAAAAATTTTTTTTAAAAAAGTTCATCCTGAGAAAGGTTGGGGGCTACACTGGGATCCCAAACATCAAGTATAGTCACCAGCTGGCTAATAAAGACATTTTGTTAATCCCAACTTTAAGAATAAGACCACTACATGGGGTTAGGGATTTAGCTCTGTGGTAGAGCGTTTGCCTAGGAAGTGCAAGGCCCTGGGTTTGGTCCTCAGCTCCGATAAATAAATAGATAGATAGATAGATAGATAGATAGATAGATAGATAGATAGATAGATAGGTAAATGAATAAGACCACTATAATTTCAACCAAATTTGAAGCAAGATTGATTTTTATTGGAGTGCACCCAAGAGCTGACCAGAGACTACTTCCTAAATCAGGTTTGAGAGAGCATCCCCAAATCCACCCACCTCTTGGGCCCCTTTTAAGGAATAAAATCACAAGTAGTTTTACAAAGGAGAGACAAAGGGGCAATGAGGCAATAACAAAACAAAACAAACAAACAAAAAAACCCTTTAAAACATCACGTGGTCACCTACCATGAGATTAGGGAGGGGTCAGGGAGGGTCAGGATAGTCCCAAAAATAAGTCAAGGTCATGGGCTGCGGAAGGTCGGGTTCCAGGAAACAGAGAGCAACTCAGCTCTTATTGGCAATAGAAACTTTTTTTTTTTTTTTGGACAGAGTTTCTCTTTGTAGCTTTGCGCCTTTCCTGGATCTCACTCTGTAGCCCAGGCTGGCCTCGAACTAACAGAGATCCTCCTGCCTCTGCCTCCCGAGTGCAGGGATTAAAGGCGTGTGCCACCACCGCCCTGCGAAACTTATTTTTTTTAAATACAGCATAATGGCTCCTGTCTTCAAAATTGAGGCAGGTTCCTCAATTCTGCTGGCTTAAACCCATGTCTGCGGAATCTTCTTTGGTGAATATCCCACAACATTTCCGATTAAAGAATAATTCAGCCTCTGGAGATGTCTATCTGCTTTCACACATTTCCAAGTCACCTCCATTAATTGCTAACAGGGAGCCTTATCAGGCAGTGTTACACAAAGGGAATACAGGATATCTCAGGAACATCACAGCAAGCACACAGTGGCCTTGGAACAAGTAACCACAGCCCTGGTAGGGTGGGCAGGTGCCAAGTCTGCGCCTGGACAAGAACACAAAACTAGTGTTTCCCTTTTGTCTTTTCATCAGCGCCGCCGAGAAAGCCTCAGATTGCCCTGGACCCTACAGGTTTCATTGTAGCCCTAGCTGGCCTTGAACTCGTAATCCTCCTGCCTCCATCTCCCCAGTGCTGGGTGACAAGTTGTGTGTGCCATCACACCTAATTTTATGTGAATAAATCTGGATTTCTTGTGTCCTTCTTGGAGACAAGGTCTCCTGCGGCCCAGGCTGACCTCTCACTATGGAGCCGAGGCTAGCCTGCCTGCAACTCCAGATTTTCCAGTTTCTACCTTCAGCCCGGTGCACACGCCCAATCAGATCTGAGCCAGCTGTGGAATGGCTCTGGACAGCAACCAGGCCTGGGCAGGACTGCGCTGGAACGCACCGGTTTCGGGACTGTACGGGAGGCGACTGGTCCTGTCCATCAAGGAGCAGGGACTCCCTGGAGCCAATCAGGATGGCGTGTAAGCGGAGTCGTCCAATCAGCAGCGGGCAGCCGCTCTTCCGGTGCCGCCCTGTTCGGCGCTCACCTCGGCAGCGCAGCAACGCGCACGGTCCGCGGTGGCACCAGGAGGAGCGCAGGGAGAGCGGGAGCGCGCCATGGTGAGTGCGGCGTGGAGACGCGGGGGGAGGCGGAGGGCCACGGGCTCCGCGCCGTTGGCCGCTCGGAAGTTCCCGGAACTTGCTGAGCGTTTGCAGACCGACTCTGCGGCCTCTTCCTGGAGCCCGCAGCCGAACTGCAGGAAAAGGGGTTCGAGTGGAAAGGGAGACGTAGGGCCCTCTCTGGGTGACTTACTCTTGGGGCTGTTTCTAGATACGTTCTTTTGGTGTTTTAAATTGCACTTATTTGTAGGGGTGGGCCCGTGGGGAGGGCAGCGTCCGGTCTCGCCTTCCACCGTTGTGGGTTCTGGGGATCGCGCAAGTCGTCAGGTTTGGCAACAAGCACCTTTTCAGCTGAACCATCGCGCAGGTTCCTTCTTTCTTTTTCTCCTCACTGTTTTTGTTTGTTTGTTTCGAGACAGGGTTTCTCTGTGTAGCAGCCCTACCTCTCCTGGAACTAGCTCCCTAGACCAGGCTGGCCTCTCAGATATCTGCCTGCCTCCGCCTCCCGAGCACCAGGATTAAAGGCGTGCGCCACTTAACTATTTTTTTTTTTCTAAAGATGCGTTTCCTTATGTGCATATTCACAAACCTGGTTAGACCATGTTCCTAGGATGAGAGAAAGTTTTTGTCTCCGGGGCTGGAGAGATGGCTCAGAGGTACTGAGTTCAATTTCCAGCAACCACATGGTGACTCACAACCATCTGTAATGGTTGCTGATGCCCTCTTCTGGCCTGCAGGCACACATGCAGACGGAACACTCAAAAAAAGTTGGCAGGGCGGTAGCGGCCCGCGCCTTTAATCCCAGCACTCCGGAGGTAGAGGCAGGCGAATTTCTGGGAATTGGAAGTCAGTCTGGTTTACAGAGGGAGTTCTAGAACAGCCACAGCTACAGAGAGCAACCTTGTCTCGAGGGGAAAAAAAGTCTTTGTCCCCACCAAGAAAATTTACAACTTCTTGGAAAAACTTTTCTTCAGCTGCTGTAGGTTTCTCTTTTCCCTGTTACACCACAAACAAAAGGAGTGGGGGATGGGAGTCCACTGTAACCCCGACTGGCCAGCACTGTTCATTACCTGTGTCTGAAGACAGGACCCTGTGGCCCTGACCTACTTATGGACAGAAACAGGGACCCAGTCCCAGCAACAGAAGGGAGAGCAATCATAATACAGGGCATGTTAAGGGGGAAAAACACAACTCTTAGGGGAATAAAGGCCTGGTTTATTCTGAATCCAGACATGAGTGGCCGTGGCCGGGACCCCCAAACACTCCTCACACAGTGTTCCACTGTGGAAGTGGTTGCATGATCGGTGGTGGCGCACACCTTTAATCCCAGCATTTAGGAGGCAGAGGCAGGTGGGTCTCTGAGCTCAAGGCCAGCCTGATCTACAGATTTAAGTTCCAAGACAGCCAGGGCTCCACAGAGAAACTCTGTCTCAAAAAAAAAAAAAAAAAAAAAAAAAAAACCAAGAAGAAAGAACAGAGTCATGAAGTGTTTATCAAAGGCCTCAGTAGGGCCACAGGTTTGCAGCAAGTAGGAACTCAATGCTGTGGGTTTCTGAAGCTGTGTCTGACATTCTCAGATATTCCGGGTTTGGTGGAGGTGCATGGTTGGCTAAGAATTGTAGGATGTGGGCTTTCAAAGGGACAAAAACCCCATAATCCTGTGAGTGGCCCACTGTGGGTGCTGGAAACTGAACCCAGGTCCTCTGGAGAAGCAACAGGTGCTTATAACCACTGAGCCATCTCTGCAGCCCCTTAGGATTTGGGGGGCTAGTGGGGGGGGTCCTCTCACTATGTAGCCCTGGAACTCTGTAGAGCAGGCTGGCCTGGGACTCAAAGAATCCTCCCTGACTCCCAGGTGCCAGGAATTAAAGGTATGGTCACCTCTCTCCATGATCCTTGGTATCATCAGTCATTTTGGCCTAGAATCTTCATCTCTTTAATCTCTCTTCTCTCTCCCCCTCTCTGTTTGGCTCTCCCTCTTGGGAACTTCAGTTCTCATGGAGTTACCAGGAAACTGATACCCAAACCCTAGAAAATTCCGGGCTTCCTTAGAGCCCCAGGTGCCCAGCCCTGAGACCTCAAACACTTGCCAACAGCCAGTATCTGGGGCTCACACTTTCTCTGCTGGGCTGAAATCTTTGAAGCCCCAGCCACCTTCCCTCTCTCTGTTCTTAGAGTGGCTGTAAAGTAGGGACTGTGTGGCCTCAGGCTGGGGTGGGTTAAAGCTCTCAACCTTCAGGAGAGAAACTTTTTTTATTGTTTGTTTGATTTGGGGGAATCTAGCTTTTTTGGGGGTCTAAACTCCTGTCCCCATAATTGAGTAGCAAAAGTGCTGTGTTACCATCTCAGGTGTCTCTGCTGCCCTATAATTATAGACACACACATACCTCATTGCCGCCCTCATCTACTGAACCTCTGACCCCTCATACTTCCATGGCTTCTTTTTTGTTTTATTGTGACTGTGTGTGTGTGTGTGTGTGTGTGTGTGTGTGTGTGTGTGTGTGTGTGTGCCTGTGTGCCTGAGTGCAGGTGCCTGCAGCCCGGGGTGTCAGGTCCCCTGGAGCTGGCATTAGAAACAGTGTGAGCCATCAGACATGGGTACTGAGATCTGTAAGAACTGTAAATGCTCTTAACTGCTGAGCCAGCTCCTTGCCCTGTCCCGACCCGCGGGTAGGTCAACGGAGACCCTAGAGGGGGAATGAGAATGTGGGAAACAAGAGACAGAGAGATGGAGACAGGACAGGATTTTGAGCAAGTCTCGTTTATTCATGAACATCTCAGGGTAGATATAAGGCAAGGGGGGTAAGGAAGCTCTAACTCTTGCAAAAAACGGGTATCTAAGCAACCATCCCACAGCGGAAAGCCTCTTAACTGCAGAAGCAGACCGTACTGAACACAGGAAACCATCAAGACCTGAGGAAATAATATTCCTATCTTGAGGGTTAGTATCTAATGCAGCTAAAGCAATCATAAAATGGCTTTAAATGTGGAAAGTCTCCTACATCGCCCCAACCCCTTCGTGTCTTCCTTTGTATGTGGGTACTAGGCGTGGTGACCCAGACCTGTGATCCCAGCTCTGGGAAATAAAGGCAGGAAGATAAAGAATTCGAGACCAGCCTTACCTACATGAGACCTTACCTTCAAAATATATACATTGACACATGGTAGCTCACAACTGTCTGTAATTCCAGTCCCAAAGAATGTGGCACCTTCTGGCCTTTGCAGGTGCCAAGCATGTACATGCCACCTAGACATACATGTAGGCAAACACCCGTACACATAAAGTTTGTTAAAGTAAAAGGGAAAAGCATGCCTAGTGAGCCGGGCATGGCAGTAGGTCTCTGAATACCCAGCATTTGGGGAGCAAGAGGCCAGAGAATTCAGTTCAGGAGCAGCCTGGGCTATCTGAGACCTTGACCCCCCCTCCCCCCCAAAAAAAAAACCACAGGGAAAAGGCAATTGGCCTATGTCTGTGATCTCACTACTAGGGAAGTAGAAGGACGAAGATTGGGAGCTCAAGGCCAGCCTGAGCTACTTAGGAAATATGAGGCCAGCCTGAGCTACACTGAAACAGAAAAACAACAACAACAACAAAAGGCAATAAAGTCATGAATAGAAGTAGGATGTGACTATTGGAAGGAGTGTAGGAATAGAAGGGGAAAGCCCACACTGAGGTTAGCTAGACAGAGTGTGTGTGTGTGTGTGTGTGTGTGTGTGTGTGTGTGTGTGTGTGTGTAGATGTGTGCACATGTGCCATGGAGTGCATGTGTTGGTCAGACATTCAGAAATCAGTTCTGTCTTTCCACAGTGGGTCCCAAGGATTAAACTCGGGTCATCCGGCGTGGCTGCAAGCGCTTACCTTCTCACGCACCTTCTCTCCTTTCTAGTTTGACTAGTTGAATTTTATCAAATCTCATGGGTCTTTCAAAGAACGAGCTTTTCCTTTTGTTGTTTTCTTGAGTTTAATTTTTCATGTTCTTGGGATTGTCATGTTTTAAAAGAGTCGTGTGTGGTGTGTGTGTGTGATGCATGAGTGCATTGGTCAGGAAAGCCAGAAGAGGGCAATGGATCCCCTGGAGCAGGAATTACAAGTGGTTGGGATCCACCCAGTCTGAGTGCTGGGAACTGGCTTGAGTCCTCTGGAAAAATAGCAGGTGACTCAGAGCAGAGCCACCCCCACCCACGGCTGCCCCCCACCCATGTAATCTGTTGCCATGTTAGACGCAAACATACCTGTAAGGGTTTGTCGCATTTTCATTGACAGCTGACTACTTTAGCATTGTTTGATCCTCGTAGTCCTCGAAGATTCTGCATAGTCTACAGTTAATTTAGGTAGTGTGTCCTTTTGGTTAGTACATGGATCTCATTTTTTTTTTTAAGGGAGGGGGTTTATTTCAGTTCAGTTCCTGTTTACAGTTCATCATGGTGGGGATGTCACAGCTGCAGGAGCTTGAAGGAGCTGGTCATCTTTGAAAAAAACGACTTTTTTTCCCTTCCACTAGCTCTTTATTATTATTATTATTATTATTATTATTATTATTATTATTTATTCCTTGTTCTTTTTCTTCCTCTTCTTTCCCTTCTCCTTTCCCTTCTTCTTCCTCTTCTTTTCTTCCTCCTCCTTTCTTTTTTTTTTAAATTTATTTTTAAATTACACTCGTGATAAAAAATGACTTTCATTTATGTGCCTCTGTATGCAGTGGATGACAGACTGTGCCACCAAAGCCTGGCTTCTATTTCTTTACCATCTCTGATTGTATGAGTTTTTGTTTTAAGGTGTGTGTGTGTGTGTGTGTGTGTGTGTGTATGTGTGTGTGTGTGTGTAATTGTTTTGTTTGCATGTATGTGCACCCCATGCATGCAGTGCACACAGAGATCAGAAGGGAAATTCAGATACCCTGAGTTACAGACTGCTGTGAATCATCATGTGCGTGCTGGGGATTGAACCTGGGTCCTGCAAGAACAAAAGATGCTCTTAACCCCTGAGCTATTCTCCATTG